CTTCAGGTTACGTCTAAGTCTCATGTGAAACTATGCAGGGGATTTTATTTAAAGCAGAAAGCTTTTTTGGAATTAAGGTTATGTTTTCAAGACTTGTCAGAAAATCAGAGAGGTCTGAGATAAAAAAAAAATGCATACTTGTTTAAGTAGAATATAATAAGAGCTTGGTATTCTTTATTTCAATTTTATTAAGCTTCGGCCGACAGATAAGAATATTAGAATATTACAATTTCCGGTTTACAAGTATAACATGATGAGACCTTATTTAAGATGCATCTTTCCAGCTTTTATTCTCTGAGTAAAGTAGTTAGGATCCATCCCACACTTATTGGTTTCTCCCTTATAAAGGAAGTAAATAGCTTTGTACACTAATTGAATATTTTTATTTTTAATCAGAAAGAATCCTGAGAACCTAAAAAAAATAATGGCAGGCTATCAAAACCATTATTGAATTCCCAGAAGTTGCCTTACCATCTGTATTGAGTTTCACATTTCAAACCTAAATCAGTTCTTTTTCTCTTTTATTGGTTGCTGATCAGAAACCTGTCAGCCTTTAAAGTTATGGGGAGATGCTTTATTGTGTCCCCGATGGGAAAAGAATCTTCTTTCCTGCCATTTTCACCAGGAGATCAGAGGTCAGCCTCCTCAATGGAGGAAGAATCTGGCAGATGGGAGATGTTTGTTTGCATTAGTTCAAGAAGACTGGTGAAAAAGACTGGTGCAGTGCTGGGAAGCTAGGTCTATTGTTTACCCCAAAAACTCACCATAGAAAACGTGTCAATTAAATTAGTGCTTTTGAAAGTGCTTTTTAAAAGAGGCTGGGTCAGATTCCTCCTGTCTTTCTTTATTGCAGGCCTCTTAATCCTTTGTTTTTTCTGTATAGTTAATCTACAATCATGGTAAATTAACAACACATGCCCTTTTAATTAGCTTGGATAAAGGCTTTTCTCATCCCTTTAAAACCCTAAAGAAATACGGGAGGGAAATGATTTCTTGTTAATCTTTTAAAGCAGTCCATAGCTTTTCTTTACAGTTGACTAATTATGTATTTTTATAACGAATTTTTTTTTTCCTTCACGGCGTTAAAAAAGAACGACTACAAACATGGCCCTAAAATTCGGCTTTGATTGATCTGAAATTAAATATGGTTGAGTTGTTTAAAGAAAACTAAATATTTAGATATATTTGAATGAATTTAAGGCCATGTTAACATGTTAAAATGTCATGTAATTCAAAAATGTAACTACCTTATGTGACCTGTCTTTTCCTCTATGTGAGATTTTGTCTATGTTGTATTTCTGTTTGTATTTTAACTGGTGTGCCGTCTTGGCCAGGTCTCCCTCGAAAAAGAGATGTCAATCTCAAGGGACTTCTTGGTTAAATAAAGGTTAAATAAAAAAAAGATATATTTTTTCTATCTAGTTTTATATTGTGTTTTTCATTTTACCGTTTTTTTTTTGCCTGCATGTGGAATGACCCTCGCAGTGAGTAATAGGAGCACAAGGCTGAAACAGGATCTGAGGGGTCAGCAGGTTCTTTCTAAAAAAACAAGTTTTCTTTTGAAAGTAAACAGCATCTTTCTACCTTCGAAGGAACACTTCATGGGGAGTTAAATGCTAAATCTCTGGAAAAAATTTTTGTAATAAGAACACTTATTTTTTCAGAAAAACAGTACGTGTATGTTTCATTCACAATTATTAACATAAAACATCAAATGTTTTTATAGCTCTCTAGATAAAGGATCAAATAATCATTTTCCTTGCATTTCTTTTTCTCAGTTTTTGCATGTTTCTGATGTGACATCACCCTAAGCTTTAATATCGCCTCCAGTGTTGAGGAGTGTTAAAATATGAAAAGTAGCTCTAAGCTTAAATCAGCCTACAGTACAAATGGTTTTGGGCGTAACTATTTCAAAGGAAAATGCAAGAAAACGTTCAGTTATGTTCAAGCATATGTGTGATGTTCATAAATGGAGCCAGATTCTTATGTTTTCAATGTGCATCTGCAGCCTGGAAATGGTTCTACAGCTACAGCATCAGCCATTTAAAATGGCCCTTCCCCATCAAACACCATCCGAATGGCGGCTCACTTCCCTGCGACTCCCAGCAAAATCCCCTCCAACCAAGAATGTTTTACCTCTGACTCCACCCTTTCACTGAATTACAGGGTCTGACCAGGAGATGACGCTTCTCTTTAGATCTTAATGTCCACAAATCATGACAGAAAGAATAGTTTAGTACAAATATTGATGTTTAAAAAGGAATTTAGGGGACCAGCCAAGGGCCAACATGTAAATTGGGGAAATTATTAATGGCTTCTACTGTATAGCTCAGAGGTCACAGATTAGAGGACCGCGGCCCGGATCCGGACCGACCTGCTGGCTAATCCGGACCCAACCTTATTTAAAACATTTATAAATTACTGCATGTTGATAGACAGCAGTGTCTAATTTCCCTTGCGCCGCTTCTCCTGTTAATACGGTAAAGCCTTCCGGATCGTCCGGCACCAGGCTACACGTGATCCAAATTATCCAATGAGCTGCTGTCAGTCTGGGTTGCTGCTGCTGCTACTTTTAGACACAGCAGACAAACCTGTAGCAAGCCGGGCGATGGGAAAGAAGGAGAAGATGATGAGAAAAAGAAAACAGAGAAAGTGTGGACTGCTGGAAGAACTGTGGTGAACTAATGAAAGAAAATTGAAATGGTGCTCAAAGATGATCCTGAACATTTAGAGGATGTTTGGCTCAACCTGCTGCTGTGAAGCAGGATTCTCCACCATGAACAGAATAAACAATAAATATGGATCCAGGCTCAGAATGAGAACCTTGATATGTGCTTTAGAATACCTTTGTCTCCATTCAAACCCAGATTTAAAGCCTTGAGGGCAGAATAAAGCCCACTGCTCTCAGTAAGACAGAAAAAAGAAAGAAAAACAAAACAAACGTTCACTTCAGGTATTTTATAAAATATTTGAATCAGGAAATTTGTCTATAAATCAAACTGAACAATTGTTGCTCTCTACTAAACTAAAAAACTAGATTTTTATATGGAAAAATGTTCTGTGTTTTATTATTTTTTTTGTTTAAAATTAAATGGAAGCATTAAAACATCTTTATATCTCAGTGTTCAATTCTGTTTAAAGTAACAGATTATAACTAAAAATGTCTCTGGACCTTTACTGGTTGATGATTTTCTTTATTCGGACCCCGCTGATCTTTAATTGGTTACCCCTGCTATAGCTGCTTATCATGTAGTAATAATGGTTTGCAGATTTTAGAGGAGCTTTGTTTTCTGACACTACAGGCAGAGTGAAACAACTTCATCACACACTTAAGTTTTGAAGTTAAGATATTTGCAGGTTTATGTGAGTAAATGTGTGAAACTACAGCAGGTCACAAGTAGCTCAGTATTGCAGGGGATGGTATTAAAACAAAACCTTGTTTTTGAAGTACTGTAAGTAATTTTATTTCATTTTTATTGTGAAAACTAAGTGAGAAAATAATTGATTTACATTGCTCCGATAGCTAGGAATAAATCGGAGATCATATTTTTATGCCATATGGTTCAGTCCTAGGCATACGTTAAGTTAGCCTAAGTTATTGCTGCTATCCTGACACTCTGGGGGCATTTAATAATGCAGATATGAAAGCTTTTATTGCAGATGTTTGTGATGTCTCTGCCACTCAGTCTGTGTTTACTGTCAGTGTGAACAGGTGAACACATGCTGTTACCTTCCATTTGGCTGAGGCTCTTTGTCCTACAGCCCAAGACACTTACAGACAGAAAAGATTTTGGTGTGAGCGCCCCGCTAGGATAATGGTAAATGAAAGGATTCTGTTGGAATATAACAACCATCAGAAAATCACATTTCACCATTAGACACATTAACAGTACAATATCCTGTAGCTCTAAAATTCCCCGACAGAATTAACTACTGAGGTCAAGACTTTCATTGTTGGGTTCTCTACTTCTTTTTGTGACTTTAAATAACTTTTCAATTAATGTTATATTCAGTGTTTCTAAAAACAGACAGAAGTTCAAAGATGGGAAATACTTTTATTTGTTGAATTACTAAATGCTGCAGTTAGTGTTTATTTGCCATCAATAATATAGAATAGAATAGAATAGAATAGAATAGAATAGAATAGAAAATCCCTTTATTGTCCCACAATGGGAAAATTCTGGTGTTTACAGCAGCAAGAAGATAATAGAAAAATGCTCACAATATAGATATATATATATATATATATATATATATATGTATATGTATATCTCAGATCTTTTATGAGAAGTAATGATTAATATAGGAATACCACCTACTTCTATTACAGGGTTCCAACGGGTCATTAAAAATAATTAAAAGCCATTAAATTATATATTTTTTTTAAATTAAGGCCTTAATTGGCATTTAAATTTATTTTTTATTATGATTATTCTGGCATTTAAAATGCTTTATTAAAAAAAAAACATTTATAAAAACAATTTCTTCAGATATATCAGATATAACTGGTTTTGAGTGTTTGTGCGGAACTGCTTCCAGTTGATCGTAAAGCCGTATGTTTGGAAAAGAAGCTCAAGGCGGAGAAAAAGCTAGAGAATAGGGAAAATGCAAACTTCAACTAAAGTGGCTGGAAAACGAGGAATCCGGGACATGGCTGCAGCTTTGTTGATGGCATTAAAATTAGCATTAAACGAGCACTAAAAAGCATTCAATTAGAGTTACTCAGTCCTGTATAAACTCTGTATTAAAAACTGTCTTGATATAAATGTTACTACTAATATGAAACTGTCTTCTGGGTGTAAAAGGACTTAATAACAGAGATTAAACCTGTTTCCACAACAGTTCACAGAGAGGGGACATGTCCTCACATCACCTCTCAAATGACATCTAAATCAGGACAAAGAAAGGGGGGGAGGGGTACGTGCGGTGGGTTTCAATAAAGCAGGACTCACGTGGCTACATAAAATAGCCTGTGGGATGCAGACATGGCCAGAAGTAGGCCTCGGATTAAGTGAAACAAGGACAAAGAGACAGGAGCGGTTAATGCTGATGAGCATTGAAAGAAAGGGGAAGAAAAAGGCAGAAAAGGTAAGAAAATGATTTGAGAATACGAAGGGAGGAAGAAAGGAATCCCAGTCAGAGTGAAACCCTGTAAAAACATAAACACTGCTGACGCTGGTATTCTGACAATTAACACCTGATGCAACTGCAAAGAAATGCAGTGAGAACATATAACTATAATGCATGCTAACCTTCAGTGTTGCTCTAAGTACCTGGGTTTGCATAGCAGTGGTTTAAAGCCATGAGTGCGCCTTGTTCTGGTGAAGCATAAGTGTGATTTTGACAGGCCAGATGTGCCCAGGAGAAAAACACCAAACCTACACTGTTTGTCATTATGTGACAAAAACAGCCTTGTTTACTGGTGTAGCACCAGGTGAATAATTAAAAGCATGCAGATGGTGAAATGGGGGAAGATGGGAGTAAACACCTCTAAAAATCTGTAAAAACAAATCCCCGCAACATGCAGTTTCATTAGGAGAGCCGATAAACCGCCTTTAATATTCTCTTTTAAAAACTGTCTTTTCTAACCGCTGCATCTATATTCTCCTTTTGTCTCACTTTTATCACAGCTTAATAGAAAGTGTTGCATTTATTGTTTATATAACAGGATTAAATAATAAGCCATCTTTTTCTCTTCCTTACCAGATTCTTCCATTTTTACAGATTCATAGTTTGACAATACCTAAAGTCTTTTTCTAATATTCTTGTATTAATATGTGACAGAAAAAGAATTTAGCTGTCTAAACCGAAAAGGTCGAGGTTCGTCAGACATCAGATGCTATGCTTGTTTTTTTCTCTCTTTTTATTTTTATTTTATGTGTTTTTGCAAGAATGGGAGAGAATTAATGAGACGCTGTAAACATCCCTGATAAGATAAATACACAGTGTATGTGGGGTATGCTGCATCTCCAAGCATCAACACTCATAAACCAGCCTATTTATTATAACATACCTAAATCCACAAACATCACAATAAATGCTGGACTAAGTTTACATTTACAGTATAAGATATAAGAGGAGAATAAACACAGCATCATGGTTTTATTCATGTGGGAATAGATGCTGTACTTCTGATAGCTGGGAAATAGTTCATTATTTGGTGTTTCAGTTGAAAAAATTGTTAAAACATTGATTAATCGGCATTTATTATCATGATGCCAAATTTACATGTTTGTCTTTTTCTTCATGCAGCTCAAGTCATTTCCATGAATAGCTCGATGTTCTGCATTTCAAAGTTCCCTACAGATTCACTCCATTTATGGTTTTTTGAGCTATTTGTTTACCTTTAGGCTACAAAGCGGCTTGTGTATTGTGCTCATTGCAGTGACTGAAAGAACTGAGCTCCTGATTTTAATTGTTAACAGTGTTACTGGATCGGTGCTGTTATTTAGCGCATTAATTGGTCGATATGAGCGGCAGACTTGTTACTATTGACTAGACTGCTGCTGCTGCTGCTGGTGTTGCTGTGCATTTGGAGGAACACAAATTTTTTGTCACTATTGCTGATATTCTGATACGACGCTTGATTATGTAATAAAATGTATACAACTTGTAATAATCATACAATTTGGCCTTTTATTAATGCCTTTTATTAATTTTTCTGTCAAACACTCAGTTTCAGTAAAGCTCTGCCTGTTTGTTGTAAGCCTGTTAAATCTGGTGAATTCAATGCAACATATTTATTTAGAGGCAAGGTGATGTTTAGATTGCATCAATTAAGGCACATAATAAATCAATTACCATTTTTCAGTGAATAGAAACTGTTTCTCAAACATTTCCTGTGTCAGGATATTTTTTAGAGGATATTTCAATCCAACTCCACTCTGCAGTGTCCTTTACTGAAGATTGATGGAATTGGTTTAAACATGGTTGCACGTCGGTTTCCACTGCTGTTTATTTCATAGACTATGTCCAGATGGTATAAGTGTGGAAAAATCTCACTGTGGGGAACTGGCAGTAATTGACGGATTGGCTATTCCACAACATTTGGAAAAGGATCCTCTTTCTGTCATCTTTTTTTATCTAATGACAGTTATTTCGCCGTTTTGCAGATTTTATGGGCGCAGGTGTGTGTGTGGGTGGGTGTGGGTGTGTGTGTGGCTGCAACTTGAACTAATCCATCTAGCCAGTAGCTGAAAGATGCAGAGTGTGGCTGTCAGTGCTACATATGCTAATAGCCTGAAGCCTGTTTGGATAAAAAGAGAAAAGGCACGTCCCTCTTGTCAGAGCGAGCAACACGCGTCAATTCTTTAAGTTTCATTTATAGCTGGCAGACATTTCTACCTTTCCTATCCGTTTCATATCTCTGCTGCTTCTTCTTCCTCGTAGGTTTATTAGTTTAATCTCGGAGTGAAGATTTCTTTATTGTCACTCAGGTTTAAAATTCTGTTTTTTCCCTCTTTTTTTGGGTAGTGATGGAGCCCATGACGGTGACTACGTCAGTGGTTGGACCCGACGAGTTCGACCGCAATGCCCCACGGATCTGCGGAGTGTGCGGGGACAAGGCCACCGGCTTCCACTTCAACGCCATGACCTGTGAGGGCTGCAAGGGCTTCTTTAGGTGGGTTGATGCATTTTCATAGCCAACATAATCGACAGGCTGTCATCCTAAGAGAAAACACCGCCCTTTAAATTAACTTTGAGGATCGCAAGTTTTTAAAGAGCTTTTTTTTTTTTTCTTTTTAGTTTTATTTATTTTAAAACTAACACCCAGTAAGGATTGGAACATTTAAGCATCAAAAACAGAAATTGAAAAAAAGGTGTTTAGCATTTCTTTTATCTAAAGTATTTAACAATCATTTTTGATTTGTAGCAAAAGGCTTAAAGTAGTGACTCCATCACAAATAGGATGGAATTGGACTGAAGGGCATTTAATTTAAATTAGATTAAATGATCCGGAATTTAAACTGAAGATATTAATAGCATTTAGATATATTTGGATTCAGTAAAGCTTGATGCCTTGAAATGACATGACATTTTAGTTGGCTTTAAGAAAATGGAATCTCTGCAGAGTTCATGATTACTGTTGCTAAGTAATGATCAGGATTTTTTCCAGTTGATACAAGGTTTCATTTTTTTCTTTCTAAGGACTCAATCCCATAAAATAAATGCAAGTTTTTATATTTAACAGCAATTAAATGCAAGATTTGTCTCACTTATAAAACAAACCATACAATTAATATTCAGCTGTAAACAGTTTATTTTATCAAAGCTCTTGTTCTCTGTTAAAGAGTGAAAAGTTAGACTTAGACTTTATTTATCCCTTCAGGGAAATTCTGGTTCCAGTAGCTTATATAGAGTACATGCCATTAAAGATAAAAACATGACAGATAATATAAAAAAGAGTGTATATAGTAACAAAAAAGCATTAATAAAAAGGAAAAAAGATTCATTTTCCTGGGATATCTTTCCTTTAGATATAAAAATATCTGCTCATTAGAGAGCTAAGGGAAGAATACATAGACGTTGACTTGGGTTATTGCACCAACTCTGCAGAAATGCTCTGCAGAGTTGGTGCATTGATGTTCATCATTTAGTAGTTTTAGTTTAGATGATATTAATGGATATTTAATTTGTGTTAACAATCCAGAAATTAATGATTTATGATTCTTTTTTTTTTTTTTTTGTTACTTTACTGGTCTTGTCTTCTTGGACATGTGGCTGCTACCTGTACTTCATAGCTGTGTTTCACACTCACTAATGTATGGTTACAGTTTGAGGTGGGGGTTCATAATGACATCATCTCGTCCGACCACGTGAGGCTGCTCTCAATGCTTTCAGAAACATCCATTATTCATTCAAGTCACTAATCCTCTCACTAACTGAAGCGGAAGAAAAAACATCCAAATTTTACTGGAAATCTGGTTTTAAAAACATTTTTGTAGACCATTTATCACCAGGTAACTAGATAGTTTTGAATACATTTTATTCCTCTTAGACTTCTGCAGAAGTAGGTGCTGTTTTCTGTGTAGTTACCGAACACATTTTGCACTCATTACAGACGCAGCATGAAACGTAAAGCCTCCTTCACCTGTCCTTTCAACGGGAGCTGCACCATCACTAAAGACAACCGGCGCCACTGCCAAGCCTGTCGTCTTAAACGCTGCATCGACATCGGCATGATGAAAGAATGTGAGTTTGGTGGCTTTTAAACACTTTGATACTCCAAAGGTACTATCGCTCCATATTAGCAGTTTGTTCATCGTTTCAACTGTGCTTCATGTTTGAAGTAATCCCAGAAGACTCCTGGATTATGAGAGGGGAGGTTGATCAAGACTCACTTAGCCGTTACTGCTGTGTGATGTAATTAACCGCTGGAGACTTTGTGCTGAAGATGTTTTCAGAATCGGAGGTGGGGCTGTGAGGCGACATTATTCTAGCATACAGGAAACATGACATGATAACAGGGGAGATTTGTTTCCTTTTTCAGCTCTTTAAGGAAAGAGTTCTGGTAAGCTGATTTGCTGCGTCATCATTTAAAAATTAAATAATCTTTCAAGTCACGGTTGGAACTAGAACAACATTCCAAAAAAGTAAAAAACTAGTTTGAAGACATTTCGCTTACCATCTAGGAAGCTTTTCAATTCCAAATTTGACATTTTGAATTTAATCGAAACATCTTCAAATTTGTTTTTTTTTTTACTTTTTTGGAATGGCTATGACATGGGCGACTGAGAATCTTTACCAGCAACTAGAATTACCATGATCTGGAATATTTGTACTGGAAATCGACTCATAAAGGTTATTTTGACATCAGTGGACCTGATCCCCAATACTGCTGCAGATTTTTCAGGTTGTTTTATTGTAAAAAATGACAGTGCTAAAAAAAAAAAAAAAAAAAAGTTAAACAAAAAATGATTAAATTAAATCATTACAAAAAAGAAAATGTATGAACAGCTGAAAATATCAGCCTGTTGATGCAAAGGACCGACTCTGATCTGCATCTATCAGTTTTTGGATGGAGTTCAGTTTAATGAATCGTAAAATGAAAGGGTTGCCTCGGTAGTGCTCACAGAGCCATACATATTAAGCCGGAAAGTTGACCTGTTCTATCTGGTTCCGACACCTTCGGAGAAAACCAACACACCTTTATTGATAAACTTGCGTTTACTTCTGGGTAAAAACAATAATTTTAGTTACACAAAACTCAGTGGAAACTAAAAGAACCCTCTTTGGTTGGGGTTAAGCCAGTTCACGTCCTAAAAAGCTTCAATTTATATCTGGTAACATATTATTCAAACCTTGATCAATCCTATTATATGGTCAATTTTAGATCCAGTTTCACACATTCTATTATGCATTGATAAAGGTTCGGTATCAGGATCAGTGCCTATGATATCTGAAAATGCTTTAATAAACAGTAGGTAGCTTCCTCAGTCCGTCTGCAGCCTGCTGTCCTCAGCAGCGCTGAGTATTTCAGGAGGGCAGTGAAAAGTGAGAAGCATTCCAGACATCACTGTAGATTCTTTGTAGCACTATTTGAGCAGTGGCTATAAGCTTTAAAACAACGGTTTGATTCCAGACATGTTCAGCGTAACTCGGTATGAACCAAAAAAAGAAGCGTTTTTCTGCTGCGGTTTGTCAGACACCATCGCCATGTTCCAAAATGTCAATTTACTGAAACTTTTAAATAATTTGATTAGGATTCCTACCGAACATAATTTAACTTACTTAAGATGAAGTTGTTGGGAAACGGCTGTTCCAACTTTTGCATTTCCTAATTCTCCGAGTGGTGCACGACTTTACACAAGTGAATATAGTGAACGTTATTGGTCGTTTATCTATGGGGCGGGATTGTTGTGGTGGAAGGTTCGCAAGCACATTTGATTGTGACTGGATTCTCAGAAGCATCTTGCTAACCAGTTAGCAACTTAGTGCTAGTAGATTCCCAATGGGAAATTACATTGGGACCAAGTAGCACTTAACAACAACAATGTCAAGGAACGCTATGGACAGCAGAAACATGCAAGAGGAGGAGAGTTTTG